GCCGATGCCTCCGTCGCCTGGCTGGAGTGGCCGCGGGGGAGTCTGGAGTCGGGCGGCCGCTGGTGGGAGCCGCGGGTGCCCGGGCCGAGATTGGGGGGGCAAGGCGGGCGACAGAAGGCCGATGCCTCCGTCGCCCGGCCCTCTACAGAATCCACCCCCCAAACCTCCAGGTATTTCCCTCCTTAGAGCTGGCAACCCTACATTCCCCTCAGTGCCTGTTGGTAGGCAACTAAGCTTGGTCCTGTCACCTACTTTGGCCTTTGGGAGAAAACACATTGGGGCCAGTCCTGATAGGGTTGCCAACTCCAGATGGGAAATTCCTGGAGATTTGAGGGATGGAGCCTGAAGAGGGTGAGGTTTGAGGAGGGGTGGGACCTCAGACAGGTACACTGCCATAGACTCCACCCTCCAAACCAGTCAGTCCCACATAGGGAACCATTGTTGCCAATCTCCAGGTGAGGGCTGGAGAGCACTCAGTATTACAACTGCTCTGCAGAAGGGAGGGCAGAAGTCAGCTGAAGTCAAAGGGGCAGATAATGGTAGGTTGGTGGCTAGCTGGGAAGGAGATGGGGTTGCCAACTACATGCTGACAAATTCCTGGGGATTTGAGGGGTGGAGCCTGGAGAGGGTGGGGTTTGCAGAGGGGTGGGACCTCAGACAGGTAGAATGCCATAGACTACACCCTCCAAACCAGCCATTTTGTCCTGGGTAACAATTGCTGCCAATCTCCAGGTGAGGGCTACAGATCACTCACATTTACAACTGCTCTTCAGGTAGCAGAGATCAGTTCCTCTGGAGAAAACAGTGGACTCTGTCATTATACCCTGCTGAGGTCACCACAGCAAATTGACACTGTTTGCCCAAAGCCAGAGCACTGCCCCAGAGCCTCTTTCTAGATTCCGTTGTATTGCTTTCACAACGGGCTTCACTGCTAGTTTAAAATATATGAATAAATGGCCCTCAAATATCTAAATGAAACAAAACATGGAAGGCCAAGCCCTTACCATCTCCAGAGAGCCATTTGTGAAGTAATGGCTTTTTTTCAACCTTCAGAACAGCACCTGGTCTCTTGTGACCCGTGCAAAGCAACCAGGCTAAGCACAGACAGACCCACTGGGGAATGTCCCTAGGCCTCAGCCCTTCTCCTGCAAAGTGTGTGTGTGTGTGTGTGGGTGTGGGTGTGGGTGAGAGAGACAGAGAGCACACAACAGAATTCCTTTTACAATTTCTGAAGCAGAAGTGAGAACCTTCTTTCTTGAGAAAGATGGAAAACCACAATTCGGGCGTATTCAGAGAGAAACTGTTTCTTTATGAATACCGAGTATTTTGAAGGGACACCCAAAAGATTCAAAAGTCAAAAACGCAAAGGACAGCACACGACACAACGCCCTGCAAAAGCCAGTTGCCACATTACCTAAATTGCGAGAAAGGGACGCTTCTTCCTTCACGAAAGTGGGGTTCACCACACCAGTCTTCTGCTTTCTGGAGACAAGGACAGGTATGCGGGAAGGAGCCATGGGGACATTGGGCAACTGATCAGCTATGCCTTGGTAGGGAAGGGTGGAGTTTTGAAGGTCAAGTGCTTTATCCTGCATCAGGTGAACTAACTCCACGTCTTGGTTTTGCTTGGACATGGTGCTAGATTTCTAGTGCTCTGAAGAAGCTGCAACAGCAAACAGAACTGCTTGTGAATGATAGAAATGCCATTTCTTTGTGGGAAAATACACCACTATGGATGCCTTTTGGGAAAGCAGCACATAGATTGGATTATCAGCCTCAAGGAGGGACCAGTGTTCCCCTGAAATTACCACTGCTGTTCAAACTACAGAGATTGTTTTCCTGTGAGGAACTCTCCTGGACTCTATGGTTTACCACAATGTGTAGGCAAAACAGAAGTCCTAGAGTGATATCACATCCCTGCTGATCTACCTCCCCAAATTCTACCCACCTCAGGAATTTTCCAGATCTGTGCTGGTAATTGTACACATGCATAATCATGCTAAAGACAACTCCTTTAAGTCAACTCACTCTACATGGTATTCCCCAAGCCTTTGGCACCAGGCTGTAACCAGGATTTTGTGGCTTGTGGGGCAAAGGCTTTTCTGGTGGGGCTGCCATTATTTGCCATAATGGTGTGTGTATGCACCCCTCTCCCTCCCTTCCGGCAAGATTTAAAGGGCCCTTCAGCTGATCAGCAGGGAACACTGCTCCCTGTTGATCAGCTTAAAGACCCTTTAAATCTTGCGGGAGGGAGGGAGAGGGGCATGCACCATCACCCCACTTCTTCTCAAAAGCATTTAAAGGATCCCTTTAAATGCTTTTGCGAAGAAGTGGGGCTGGCCCTTTAAGGAAGGGGGCAGAGACCCCAATAGCCCCACCATAGCTATGGGCCAGCTTGGCATCTCGTTAATTACCAGTTGATGGACCAACACCTTCCCTACATTTTTTTTCTTGATGTCTGCAAGACCTTTGATATTTTCTTGTTCAAATCATTCATTGTCAGCTTCTGTGCTTAGTCTAAATTTTGTCCTCACAAGGCCTACCCAGACCAATTTCCTCTGTCTTTATGTTTCATGATCAGCCTCACAGGATCCATTCTGTTTTGGTAAAAACTCAGCTGCTGTCTTACTTGAGACTCAACACTTTTGAGTCAGCGACAACTCTAAGCCAATGTGCACAGGACCCAGCTATTAATATTTTCTGATGGCAGCTGGCATATTCTGCATACTGATCCATGGACAATTTATCTAATAGCCTCAGTGTTCTCTAGCTTAAAAAGGGACTCTAAACTGTGGTTGCACAGGCTGAGATTGGTATGTCATTGACGATATGAGCGCCTCACCCTAGGCTTGCATCTTTAATACTAACAGCCAGCATGATGTCATGGTTAGAGTGTCCGACTATGAGAAGGGAAACCCAGGTTCGAATTCCTCACTTGGCCATGAAGATCCCTGGGTGGGTATCAGGAGAGGATAGGGATCACAGAGCCCACAGTCTAGGAAGGGGTGCAACTAGGCCGATTAATCTGTTATTTATCGACTTTATTTATACCCTGCCTTTCTACCCATTGGGAACCCCAATTGTCGCCCAGCAAGCTGCGGTGGCTCAAGTGGTTAAGACGCTGAACTGCAGGCTGTGGAAGGTCAGTAGTTCAGCAGTTCGAGACCCGGGTGCCGCAAGACGGAGTAAGCTCCCGTCTCTAGTTCCAGCTCCTGCCAACCTAGCAGTTCGAAAGGAAGAAATTGCAAGTAGATAAATAGGTACCACTTCAGTGGGAAGGTAACAGCGTTCCGTGCGCCTTGGTGTTTAGTCATGCCGGCCACATGACCACAGAAACGTCTTCGGACAGTGCTGGCTCTTTGGCTTTGAAACGGAGATGAGCACCGCAACCCTAGAGTCGGATTCGACTGGCTTTTGAGCAAGGGAACCTTTACCTTTACCTTTAAGCTTCCATGGCCGAGCGGGAACTTGAAACTGTTCCTTCCAGCATATTAACCGTTATACCATTATAGCTTCTGTTTAGAAACCTTTAGAAGAAGAGTCCAAGCACAACCAGTCTAATTGTTTCTGTCGATATCTTAATCAGACACAGTTGGTGGGATTTCTCTCTTTTTTTCTCTATAGGTCAACTAATTTGGCAGCCATCTTGATGCATTTCCAATTGCACTAGGATGCCAAAGTGGCACCAAATTATTGTTCAGTGTAATGCTACAGCATAAAATGTATTTTAAAAAACTGTGGAGACATTGTTCATCATTTTAGCTTTTTGTAAAAAAAAAAAAAGAAGTGTTCTGCAATGGGAAATAAATAATTCCATAGTAGATTCAAGACTTGATTTTTTGACTTTGGTACAAACCAGGACAAATCACTATTCTTCCTTCTTTAAAAGCCAGTTCCTAATGTCTTGCCACAATTAAACATGAGGAGTAGAACTTAGGATGAGATTGTGTAGGCTACAGCAAGCCTGGTTTTCGATAGCTGGATTCAGGAGGACTTTGCTTTCCCCCATGTCAGGGAATGGCTGCCCCTCATTCCTGTGGGAGAAAATATTACATTGCACCTGGTGAGGTTGCTGCCCAAGCACTAGCGGCTTGTCCCTTATGTGCCTGAAGAAAGCAGGCAGAGAGGCGCTACATCATCCCCAGCCCACAGAGATCCTTGCCATATAAAGCTCTCCTTTAACAATTCTTTCCCCCCCCATCCCAATGACAAGGATTTTGCTTTCACTTGACTATGCTGCGCCAAGATCAGTGCCCAACTTCCATTGCACCCACATTGTTTTTGAGAAGTAAAATGAAACAAAATCTTGGCACGAACCAGACACTGGCGTTTCTAGATGCACATGTAAATAGACTCCCCCATTCTGGCTCCAGAACTCCCCCGGAAACATTCCACATCAAAAAAGAACACACTTCAAAAAAAAGAAAACTTACCTCTGTGCTTCACATTTCCTTTGGGGGCAGGAACAGCACATTATGCTACATGCTGCCCCTCAGCTCCTGGGAATCCTCAAAATATTTTCATCATGGATGTGCCTGTTTTCAAATAATGTGGAATCGCTCCTAGACTGGGCCTGTCGACTTGTTCTTTTCCTGTTTCCGTGCCTTTCCAATGCCTGCAAATCCTGGGTCCTGCTAATCGGATTGTGTTTTCTACATAGAGAGCTCCCATTGCGAGGGTGCCCCAGGAATGGCGAAATGCTTAGGGACCAAGGGCTACTGTTGCTAGGGGAAGTAGCACAGTTGCTAAGGAGGTCACTAGGAGACTCTTACTGGTTTCCAGGCACCACACTTAATTGGCAAGCCCTTGAATCTGCTATGTTTTTTTGTTGGGGGGAACCTACTAAAAACAGTCAATTTATTCTACAGCAGAAAATCCAGAACGTTTATTGAGCCCAGCATCTCTGCTGCCCCACTTTGGATTCTGCCTCCATGTCCTCCACCAAATGCTTTGGATTGATTGATTTTATTGGATACTGCGTTTATTTTACCAGCTTTAATCCGTCTTGTTTCTTTGTACTCTTGCATGCCAGTTTGGACCTTTTTTCTTTCCTTCTCTCTTTTGGGGAAGTTGCTAACAACCACTGTAAATTTTAAAAAAAATATGAAGTACACTAGTAGATGTGGACATGTTGGTGTACAGTACCACTTGCAGTTTCTGCTTAGCACAAATAGCAAGACTTGCATACTTCTGGGAAGTCTCATAGGCAGGCTGTTCCAGGGAGTGAGGCTCTGCTGCAGGATGGTTCTGTCGGGTTGGATCTCATTCTAGTTTGCCTTGCTGTAGGGTTTTCTGGTAGCATAGAGCAAGAAGAGAAGGGCTTTAGAGTACTTTGCTGCCCCAGGCATTTAATTCCATCACTTTCTGGCAGGGCCAGTTAGATTTGGGGGGCTGTAATGGAGCAGAAGTACAAGCTGGGTTTCGAAGAGGTAGAGGAACTAGAGATCAAATTGCCAACATTCGCTGGATTATGGAAAAAGCAAGAGAGTACCAGAAAAATATCTACTTCTGCTTCATTGACTATGCTAAAGCCTTTGACTGTGTGGATCACAACAAACTATGGCAGGTCCTTAAAGAGATGGGAGTACCAGACCACCTCACATGCCTCTTGAGAAACCTGTATAAGGGCCAAGAAGCGACAGTTAGAACCGGATATGGAACAACTGATTGGTTCAGCATAGGAAAAGGAGTACGACAAGGATGTATATTGTCACCTTGCTTATTTAATATATATGCAGAGTACATCATGCGAAATGCTGGCCTGGATGAATAACAAGCGGGAATTAAGATTGCTGGGGAAAAGATCAACAACCTCAGATATGCAGATGATACCACTCTAATGGCTGAAAGTGAAGAGGACCTAAAGAGCCTCTTGCTCAGAGTAAAAGAGGAGAGCGCAAAACTGGGCTTGAAGCTCAACATCAAAAAAACTAAGATCATGGCATCCGGCCCCATCACTCCTTGGCAAATAGAAGGGGAAGTCGTGGAAGTAGTGACAGACTTCACGTTCCTGGGATCCCAGATCACCGCAGACTGTGACTGCAGCCATGAAATTAAAAGACGCCTGCTCCTTGGGAGGAAAGCGATGGCGAACCTAAACAGCATGATAAAAAGTAGAGACATCACCCTGCCAACAAAAGTCCGCATGGTCAAAGCAATGGTATTCCCAGTAGTCATGTATGGCTGCGAGAGTTGGACTATAAGGAAGGCCGAGCGCCGAAGAATAGATTCTTTTGAACTATGGTGCTGGAGAAGACTCTTGAGAGTCCCTTGGACTGCAAAAAGAACAAATCAGTCAATCCTAAAAGAAATCAACCCTGACTGTTCCCTGGAAGGCCAGATAATGAAACTGAAGCTCAAATACTTTGGCCAAATGAGAAGGGAGCACTCCCTGGAGAAGACCCTGATGCTGGGAAAGATTGAAGGTCAAAGAAGACGGGGACGGCAAAGGATGAGATGGTTAGACAGTGTCATCGATGCAACGAACATGAAATTGAGACAACTTCAGAGGACGGCGGAAGACAGGAGGGCCTGGCGGGAGATGATCCATGGGGTCGCGAAGAGTCGGACTCGACTGTGCGACTGAACAACAACAATGGAGCAGAGGTAGGAGGGAAGGAGATGCTGTGACAAT